GATAGTAAATATAGAATAAGTCATGTCTTGAGTGGTTTTGGCAAAATTTATCTATGCTAATTCAGTCGTATAAGGGTCAAAAAATAATGTAGGAGTCGCAATAAATGGGATTAATTTCGGATCGGCCATGTTGAAATAAATCTTAAACTCATTTAAAAGTTGTAATTCTGTACAGACGAATTTAATTAGAACTTAATACGACCCTGCTTAGACTACCATTTAAACCACTCTCTGGTTATTTTTAATAACACGTATCTTATTCCCTCATGACATATCCACTAGTATTATACCTTTATGTATAAGATACAACAGATACAACAATAGTATATTATGCAACGATCATGTAATGATGGTTATTAATAAACGAGCATTAACCGGGATACGAAACGAGCCAAATGCGAGTTTCGTATGGTTTAGGCGAGTGTATTAATAACCATTACATGAGAGTTGCATACGCTATTTTTTCTACACCCGATAAATAATCAAGAACTATAAATATTATATTTATATTGGTATTGAACACAATAACAGTAATTACTCGTATTTCTATAAAAAATTCTACAAAATTGTAATTAATGGTATTACCTTGGGTATTGGTATTACCATAGATTTTTTGGGCAAATTATTGTGTACTGCATTTTCTCCTTTCTCCGATATGTGTGGAGGAGTCTTCTATATCGCTGATATCAGACATGTTGATAATATAATTATCGAAGTTTAGCTATCTACGAAAATTTAATACGTTTTGACAACTAAGACAATTACATAGGAACCTAGGACAAACGTCAAAGAACATGCTTGATTGAAAAATTGTAGGTTTCTATTGATTAAAAATCTGTATCGTAATGAAAAATCTGTATCATAATGGGTATCATTATGAAACGGATTTTGAGCATATAAGTGCATTATTATAATACGGGTGTAGAAAAACTGTTTTTTTTTTATGTAATCAACTTCAACTGCTAAGGTTATTTCGCCTGGTGTTTGGTGTAGACTTTGTTTCTGTTTCCCAGCGCCACTTTAGGAACAGCACTGTTAATTAGAACCCAACAGTGAATGGGGGGAATCTTATGAAGGTATTAGAATTAATTTTAAATCTTAAATCCGCAGGCAGAGACTCTACCACTGAGCCACCCACCCCCTAATAAATTGTTGTAACAAACTAATTACCAAATATCGTTTAATTTAAAATTACAAATAAACACGAGTGCTTAGCACCAAAATAATGGAGGCTTATCACAGGCTTTGATTACTATACGGTGCAAGAGAGAGATCTGACACGCCCATCATCGGGCGCGTTGATTCCTATGCCACAGTTTATAGCTAAAGAAAAAGATCGCTCACTCTGCGTCGGCACTTTTGATCTCAATGTTCCAGTTTATACACTGCTCAACTCGGATAATACAATATATGACAACCGCCTATAATAAAACAGCAGTCTTCTGCGTATCCTTAATTTGTATCCCTGGAGTGGATGTTATTTTGGAACTTTCAACTGGTCCGATTGAGCTAACTGATTCTTTGGCAATAAACTGACACTGACAGCAGCAAGCAAAATATCAGGTGCGTTTTAATCATCCGCTTCTGCTTCCGGAATTGTCGGTTTAGTCGTTTTAACCTGTCAGATTAAAACAATAAAAACCGACAATTCCGAAGCAGAAGCGGATGATAAAAATATTGCGCCCAGATGTAGGCAACACGTAATAAGTGATCAAAATGGCGATGTTTTCTATCTGCTTTTAAAAGGCACTCAGAAAGCTGCGCAGTGCGACTGCGACCATTCTCCGTATAGTAAAATAAAATCAATCAAAGTATGTGAGGCTAATCGATAATCGGCACAGAATACTACGAGTACTTGATATATTTGTTACGCGTTCTTTCTCTTTCCTTGTCTAAGTTTTAAACAACGTGGAACTTTCAAATATATGTTTTAGGATAAAATAGTAATTTTTAATTTTATAATTTATAAAATTGGTTAAAAAAACTTACTAGAAACTCTAGAAACTTTAAAAATATGCCCTGGGAATATAAAATCACAGAAAATGTACAAACAAAACTGACAATTCCCAAGTGCTTATTGACAGTTGTGACTAAATTTTCGCGCTTTTATTGAAAATAGACGAATCATATCAAAGACCCAGAAGAAAAAGAAAATAATAATAATAAAGAGTAGATACTGGCTTCAAACAAATCCAGACTTGTTTCTTGTCTATATATCATTTGTTCATCTGAGGCAATACCTCATTAATGACAGAAAACATATTATTGATGTTAATCTTAAATTAAAATTTAATCTTCAACACATTCCAAATTTCAGTAAAATTTAAAATTCCACTTAGTCGCTAATGTCAAAAGATAAAACGTCAGTCGATGAATCAGTCAAAAAAGCACCAAAAGCAGAAGCAAGAGCAGGAAACAAGACAGAAGCAAAACCAGAGCACAAAGAGGAACCGGTCGTTCGGTGGCGAGTAAAGCAATATGCCGATGCAGTAAGAAGACACAGCAAAGAACCAAGTACTCGTGATAATTATAGAAGAAACAAAGAATCTGAATTTGAATCTGAAAATCCAGCGAGAAATGAGAAATATGAAAAGGAGAGAATAAGAGAGGAGTATAAGAGATCAGTTTTAGATGAAATAGATAGTATAAGCGAAGCAGCTAGCAGAAAATCGACAAAATCCTCAAATCAAGGAGTTTCGGAAGGAAAATCTTCAGAACGTGGTGCAGAGAGAGAGTCAGTTTCCATTCGCCACCCCACCCCTTACCAACCAGTCATACCTCACCGACATGAAACCACGCATCATTCTACCCCACATCACCATCATAAGTAAACAAATTAAACGAAACTGTAAGAATCTTTAAATTTTAAACCCGTTTTATAATTTAAAGTTGAAGCATTTAGAAAAAAGAAAACATAAACTCCTAGTTAAAAACATTGTAAGCCAAATGGTTCAAAATTACACCGTTGGTATTTCTTAAAATAAAATGTTATGTGACAATAAGTATGACGTTGTCACATCTGCCAATATTTTCATTCATTAAATCCATTATCGTTAATTCATCACATTCCAAATTTCAGTTAGCCAAAAGATTCAGATAACTTTGGCGAATGTCGTTTCCCGAAAGATATATGGATGAAGCAGAATCACATAGAGCAAGAGGTGAAGCGGCCAGAGCAAAAGCAGAAGCGAGGGCGGAAGCAAGAGAAGAACGGTTAAGAGTCCAATGGCGAATGAAGCAGCACGCCGAAGAAATAGAAAAGGAACAAAGAGATCGAAGAATTAGGGAACATCATGAGAAGAGATTAAATGAGATAGAATCTATGAATCAGGTGCGATATGAACAGCTTGAAAAACAACGAGCGTATAAGCAGGAACATAAGAGAATGGTAATTGATTCTCTGGGTGATCCAATAGTGCCACATAAATGGGGAGAGACGATAGATGAGACCATAAGTCGAGGCACAAGCCGACGATCAACACAAAGTAGCCAAAGGACGTCTGAACAGGGCACTGAAAGAAGGTCTACTCCTGCACCCTATCATCATACACCTCGACATCATGCTGCACCACATCATCATCATAAATAAAAGAGTTTATTAATTCAGTTTATTAAACATTACATAATCTACTGGAAAATATAATAAAATGGAATAAGAAAAACAACTGAAAGAATAATTATTATTAAACAGACATTAAGCCTAAAATCCGTAATGTTTGTATTCTCTATTAAATAATAAAATAGACCTTTTATTTTTACATATCTTTAATTTTCAATTTTTAAAATCCAGTGATTTTAACAAAAACCGGCCAAGTTCGAGTCGGACTCACTCAAGAAGGGTTCCGCACCACTGTAAAAGATTTAATACTATGTAGGTAATTTTTAAATACTTTATTAGGATCGAGCAAAAATAGACAAAAAAAAACACGTTTCTCCTAGGGGAGCCTTTTTTAATTTTTATTATTTGTTGTTATGGCAGCAACAAATACACATTCTGTGAAAATTTCAACTGCCCACTTATTACAACTGAGTTTTAGTAATAGGATCCCCATCAGTTACCCTTAGGGTACGGAATCCTAAAAAAAGAAAACAAATAGTGCAATAGCTGTCATAATAAAAATTAAATTCAGTCATGATGGATTTTGTTCTTAAAATCTCCTAAGAATTCTCACCCTTAATTATCGGCACTCAATTATTAGACACCCCGCATATACAGAATGTTTTATAATATATGCTCAGGACTTCAGGACGTGATGGCTCGTCCAAAAATATGAAAAAACGTTTTAATTAACTTACGCTCTAAAATGCACCATTTTCGAGATACAGGATGTTGAAATTGAAAAAAAAAAAAAAATTTACGCCACTGGAAAAAGTACGGTTTTGAGAAACCCATTTGAACCGCCAATGTTTTCTATACAAAAAAGGTACTCTTGGTCATATGCTCTAAAGTCGACCGTTTTCGAGAAAAATCAAATTTTAATGTTGAAATACATGGTCAATTTTTGGAAATAAAACACCGACCATCCATTGAATACTGCTAACTCACTTCAAGGCTGAGACGATTCAAACCCCTTAATTCCTAAAATTATTTTGCAAGAAGCAAGTGCCTAAAATAGTCTATGTAATCAGGAAGGAAGAGGTATACAGAGCATTCCCACCTATTCCCAATTATGGTTAATGCTGCAAATGTTTTGAGATAAAATTTTTAATGTTCTATTTTTATCTAAATTTAAACAGTCTTGTAATTATTGGTTTATTACATAGAATGTTTTTTGGGGTTTCAGTTCTTGATTTTTATTGGTTTTTTTCTGTTCTTTCTCGTGTCTTTTCCTTAGTTTGTGTTTGTTGTTCCGTTTGCACGCGTAAAAAGTGCGGGACTTTTCAATCTACTAATTTTCCATTATGAAGACTAGTCTTCATAATTTTATTATAATACAGATCAGTGGTTGTGACTATTATATCAAATGTGACAATTTTATTTTTTTCTAACCATAAATATTCTGACATTCTGACAACAATCCCTAATATTTTATCAAAATGCCAGTTTCATAATAATAACCATAATGTTAACCATTTTCAGATATTCATTCATCATCAATTCACCTGCATTATTATTTATCTCATAGCATCAATTTTCATTAAACAAGGATATGTCGAAAAAACTGTCTAAATTTGCAATTCTCGTGAAAGGAGGATACATTCTTGATGAAGAGGACAAACAAGAACGTGTCCAAAATTGGTTGGATAGGAAGAGGATACAAACGGAAGAAGCAATGTTAAAAGAAAGAAAGCGGAAAAGTCGACAAGAAGAACAAACCAAACGTTTCATTGAAGAAGGTGTTAAGCAGGGCTACGTTCTAGATCGTACAAGAAAAGCAGAACGACTGAAAAACTATTTTGAAATGAAAGAACAGCAAGCGAGGGAGAGTTTTTTAAATGAACATTCTAATAAAGATCGTGAGTTAGAACAAAGAAATATAAAGAAACACGAAAAACTCGAAAAGCTGAGGCAAAAGAGGGCTGAACGATTTGAATTTATAAAAAATACCGTAGGCACCATTAATAAAGACAGCAAAGCAGGTAGTAGTAAGGACGATGAACGGTTAGAATTTACAGAAAATGCAGAAGGAAGCACTAAAACAGCTAGCGAATCAGGTAGCCGTAAAAATGATGAACAATTAGAATTTGCAAAAAAGCCTGTAAGCAAAGCTAAAAGAGACAGTGAAGCAGGTACTAATAGAGGTGTTGAACGGTTAGAAGTTATAAAAGAAACCGTAAACAGAACTAAAAGAGTAAGTGTACCAGGCAGCCCTAAAGATGATGAACGATTACAATCAATGAACAAAAATGTAGGCAGAGATCCAAGAGACAGCTTAGCAGGTAGTAGTAAAGGTGGTGGACGGATAGAATTTAAAACAAAGACTGTAGTCAAAACTAAAAGAGGTAGCGAAGTAGGTAGAAGTAAAGGTAATGAACGATCAGAAGTTTTAAAAAAGACAGTAGGCCCTAAGAGAGGTAGCAAACCACGTACCAGTAAAGGTTAAGACTTAAATAAATGGTATGTGCAAATTTTACAAACAGAAACTACATTATATACATTAACCTTATTTTCATTCAATATATCATTTTATCATAAATTGGACTTTTATATTATTTTAGGCCTATCTGTAGGGGTGCAGGAGTATTAAAAGTACTAGCACTCCTGCCCTATGGAGTATAAAAAGGTAGAGCTCGTTTTTTTTGTGAAGAGCACATTTCGTCATAGCTATGCCACACTCAAAATAGCTAAATAAATGCAACAAGTACAAATAAGTAATACTAAGCTACTGAATTCAACTTGTATGAGCGGTGATGAGCGGCAGGTGGCTTCAATCACGTTTAAATCTGTCTGACCACGCCTACAAACTCAAATTGATTTCTGCACAATATGACGAAGTGTGCTCTTCACAAAAAAATCGAGCTCTAAGCGCGCATTTGTACGTATCGGACGGAACGGACGCATCGGACGAATCATACTTTTTTGTAGATATCGCTCGAATCGTACTTTTTTTGTAGACATCACACATTTATGCGGATCGGCTTTCTGCATTTTTGTACAGGGTAATCAAAATACGAGATAATTTCTGTTTTCTGTTGACATTTGAAAAAATTACTATAGTTTTGAAGAACAATTGTTATTTTAAATTGTAGGTGCATTTGAAGATAAAGAACGCAGAAAAAAATGGGTTTGGGTGCATAATATAATTTTGAACTGAAAGCTTTATAAACAATTTTATACTTTGTTTAGTGATTTATTACATCATGAGGCATATTTTTTCCAATAACTACTTCCGAATGACGCATGAACAATGTTGTGACCTTTTAAATATATTACGTTCGTCTAAAGCAAATTAAATATAAAAATATTTCACAAACAAGTTAATTGTGGTGAATGCGATTAATCCAAAATGATTCTTGCCGCAACCCATCGCATACTAATTCGAATTTCCGAATGACCTCATTCGTACGCATCGGCTTGATGGATTTAGTTCTTGTTCAAGAATACTTTACGGATTTCCATTCATGCGATGCGTTTGATACGAATCAATGTGCGTTCACTCCTTTAAAATAATGAAAAATATTATATTCTCCAAATCCGTGTCTCCGAGGCGTCCGTCTGATACGTACAAATGCGCGCCTACCTTTAAACTATTAGTACTCCATAACCTACATAAAACACTAGCTGTCAGCACTATTCGTACAAAATGACCAACAAAGAGTTTCGTCGTCGGAAAGGCGAGTAACATAAAATCGCCAGTTGATTCTCTTGATTTAATGCCATGTCGAGTTCATCTGTTTCTTCGCTAATATCATTACTTCTAGACAATACTGTTTTCAGTGAGACAAACAATAATTTTTTAATTAAAAAACCGACTACAAAATCGTGCACATGCCCCTAAAAATTGAGATTTTTGACTTTCTCATAGATCATCAGATCCTGACCAATTGAATATGGAACTACCCCTGAGGTATCCCCTTTCTAACAAAAAAAAAATAATCATAGAAATCAGATAAGGTGGTAAATAATTATCGCTAAACATACATAAAAAATAAAGAGTTTGAGGATTTTCTCATGGATCCAAGTAGATTTTGACCAAATTAATATGGAAGTAACCCTGAAGTACCCCCTTTAAACAAAAAAAATTCATGAAAATCGGACACCTTGTTAACGGATTATCGCTAAACATACATAAATTGAGAACCTCCTCCTTTTTTGAAGTCGGTTAATAAGTTTACTGAATTCTTGTTGTAGGTAAATGTTGAAAAATGGAAATTGTTACTTGTTTAAAATAATAAAAAATCAAAACAATTTAAAAAAATTTAATTAAGAATAACTATGTCATTACATTACGAGTTCCAAGTTTTCATCATGGTCCTTCAAATGAGCAAAACTATGATGATATTCTGCTATATCTTTTCGCACGTTTCGCAATCAATTAAGACCGTGGGGGGATTAATTAATGATTTATACGGCATTTAATGTTTAGTAATTATTAATTAAACAGAGTACAGTTATTTTCGTATTATCATTAACGAAAAAACTTGTTGCATCCGTGGATGTAAAAAAACATCACTTTGGAAACCTGGATTTGTTTCGATAGTAAAGGAATTTTATAAATTTTCACATAACACACTTACAACCGTATGCATAGTCAATCGCCAGCGATTCGCCAGCAATTCGCCAGCGGATCACTGCTGATACCGCCGAGATGAATCTCTGGCGAATCGCTGGCGACTTGCTGGAGATTGTCACCGAAATGTCATCTCTCGCAAGTTTTCATGTTATTTTATAGGAAAAATTAGTTTTCATGTTATTTTATGGGGAAAAATTTGATATTCGTTAATTGTTTCTTGAGTAAAAAAAAAAAAAATAAATTATGAATAACATGTGAAAGATGCTGGTGACGATCTCCAGCAAGTTGCCAGCTTTTCGGGCTGCCATTGGATCGCTGGTGATACGCCGGCGAATCGCTGCACTGGCGAACCGCTGGCGAACCGGTGGCGATCGACTATGCAAACGGGTCTTAGTGTCTCTTAACCAATGATATACATAATTACATAGATTGCTTATCCATATGTTAATCAGACGACGAAAAGCGTATTTCACTGGACAAAGTTTTCTTTCCATCTATCTTATATCAACTTTGAGCACTTAGTTGTAAACAAATCATTTACAGAACCGGTTTACAAATTAGAATCTTTAATGTTCTTTGTCATTAAGCTTTTTTACATATTTAAATGAACATTTTATATAAATTTAATTGTACAGATAATTAAAACTAATGTAGAATGTTACTTTGACAAAAATATAATGGCCTTGTATACAATTTATAAATTATTTCTCATTTATTACTAAAATAAACAAATCATAATTAATATATGTATTGCAATTACTGTCAAAAGAGATTGCAACAAACTTTAAAATCTTAAAAATTCAGTGAATTTTGTAAAATTTTTTTAGTAACATTAACATTAAACATTATTCATAATAATAGATAAATATAACTTAGGCCCGATACCACCGTTGTGTTAAACGAAGTTTAAAATTACATTTTTACATTAACAATGTCATTTTAATCTCCGTTTAACACAATGGTGGAATCGACCCTTAATAACATATATTTATGGAAATCGGGGACAAGGAGCGTCAAATGTTATCTCGGAATTAATTAAATCTAAAAAAAAATACAAACGCCGGATTTAGTGATAAATAATTCAAAATTGTGATGAAAAATTATTTTAATTTTTGTTATTAAACATACAAAACTATTATTTGACATTTTTAAATTGCCAAAAATATCTTTATTTGCCTTTTTTTGTATGCTTTATAATAACAATACATGGAGCTTAATATATCCAAGTCTTCGTGTGTTAAGGCATATTGTGTACATACATCGCAACGTTGAATTTTAAGACATTTTTTTTATTAAAAATCCGCATATATAATAAAATTTTCTTAAAAAATATTAATATTTTGTACATGCAATTCATTAATATGCTTGTTTATATTTACATTTTCGACAATATTGCCACCACTACACGCGATTTTGGAAAATGGCTCATCCTTACTAGTCCTACGAATTTCATGTAGCCTTACAAGTAAAGCATCCCCTCCTGTTTCGCAGTTTTCAGTTACAGAATGTAATAAATTTAAACATTGCAATTTTTTGAATGTCCTTTGAATTTGGACCGATGTAGGGTTTACACAGTTACCATCATGGAGGAAGGATAATTAAGAGTTGCAGATTCCTCACAGAAATTTGGCAGCATGTTTACCTTCAGCGACATATGGAATAGTTTTGTGCAATTAATACTCAGTCGGTAATATAGAAAGATGTAATGCTATTTTAGCTTGAGAATTGGCGTGCTTTTGAATTTACTTCGATAAAATATAAGAATTTTACATTTTTAATAGCACTGCTTAAAACACATGATTTTGATTGTGACTGATTACTAATTTACTACTTATAATTTCTTTAATGGCTAATTAAGATTTTCTTGCTTTTTGTAATAAAAAAAATTCAGATTTATCAAGATTATAAAGCTTTGTTATTCGCATATCTAGAATAATTATCAAAATGAGTATCAGAATTAAATTTTTGTTAAGCATTTCAATATTTGAGAATAACAAAATTACGATTAATATTCATTTTTTTTTCAGAAAAAAAAATTATTCCTTACAAAAAATTCTGCTTTAAAAAAATTACAAGAAAAAGTTTCCTTTTAAAGTTATGAAGGAAAACTGAAAGGAAACCTGTGACTTTTCTTCGTAAAATCAATAAGGTAATACAGATTTTTTTCTTTTGTCAATTTTAAGTTTCTTCATTTATTAAGACCATGTACACCTGACCTAACATATTAATATAGTAAACCTATTTTTTCGTCAAACAGAATTTTTTTATAATGACTTTTTCCTTAAAATAAAAATAAAGATTTTTCCATTTTGTCAACTCCATACGGGAGATGTTTAAAATATAACATTTTACTTTAAATCTTAATAATATACCTACATAAGTAAATATAAATTGACGCTAAACTTTACGTGACGTTAACTAGGCACCTACCTACATCTTACTAATAGCTTTATAACTGACAAACTGACTCATATACTAGGATTTTTTTAAAAGTATACCATACATACCTAATAAGATCTTTAAGAAACCGAAAAAATCTTTTAATACAGTTTATTCATATAGTTTTTTGCTGCACAACTTTGCCCAGACATAGTAAAACACTTAAAAAATAACAAATTAACACTGAAAAACTATATAAAAAGTGTCAAAAAATATCTATAATTCTAAAAAAATAACAATATATACATAATACAAAAATCACAAACAAAATAAATTTAAGATACACGCTACTGATTCCGTGCTACTGCAACTTGTTTGTTTTTGTCGATATAAACGACGACAGTGACGCCACTGTCTTGATTGAGAGGTTGGACCCCAAAATGGCGGTGTGCGCGTAGATGTGTGCGTAGCGTTGCCGCCAAGACAAGTTAGCCTGCCGATTGTTTATTATGCCGTGACATAGTGGTTATTTGATTGGGCATGAGCAAATTAAAAATAAATTCGTAAAAGCCACGCTTTCCACC